AAAGTCTGCTTTTCTAAAGTCTAAAACTTTTGTTTTTGTGTGGTGTGACTCAGTCACTGTTCTTATATTAAACCACACTGACTGATGATCACTGGATCCTAAACTTTCACCTACAGTAATATCTGATGCCAAATCTCCATTTGTTAACACTAAATCTAGTATGGCCTCTTTACGAGTTGGCTCCTCAACGACTTGTTTTAGAGACAATCCCAGTAGAGAGTTTAGAATATGTGTGCTCCTGGCACAAGTAGCTAATTTTGTTTTCCAATTTACATCAGGAAGATTAAAGTCACCTATGATGATAACTTCCCCCTTCATTGTCATTTTAGCTATTTCCTCAACTAGTAGATTATCTAACTCTTCAATTTGTCCTGGGGGCCTATAAATCACACCTACAGGAGTTACTGTGTGATTACCAAATTCTAACGTAGCCCAAACGGACTCTATGTTTGCCTCACTAACTTTTATTAGGCTAGATTTTATGCTATCCTTCACATACAAGGCCACCCTCCCCCTTTCTTGCCTTCCCTATCTTTCCTATATAAAGAGTACCCTGGTATTGCTATGTCCCAGTCATTTTTCTCATTGTGCCATGTCTCAGTAACAGCGACTAAATCTACACTATCAGTTGCCATTATTGCCACAAGTTCATGGATCTTATTCCCTAAACTGCGAGCATTTGTAGACATGACTCTAAGCTTATCATTTTTTAACACACTTGCTACAGGCACCTTCTGTCCTTGTTTTGGGGACAATTGGATTGATGTTTTATCACCCTTTTGCCCCCCCCTCCTAGTTTAAATACATCCTAGCAAAACCTCTGAACTGCTCACTGAGAACATTTGTTCCCTTTTGAGAAAGATGCAAACCATCTTTTTTGTACAGCTTATCTCCACTCCAAACAGAGCTACCATGAGAAATAAAGCCAAATCCTTGCTCCCGACACCATTCACCAAGCCACAAATTAAAGTCCCTAATACGCATCCGCCTGTTGTTCTGAGTGTTATGCACAGGCAGAACTTCAGAGAATGACAGTGTGGAAACAAGCTGCCGTATATCATTGGCAAAAAACACTAAAAACTTCCTTAACCTCTGAAACCTCATTGCAAGACAAGTCATTTGTCCCTAGATGGACAAGTATCTCCAATTCCCCTTCCTGCTTTGCTTGCTTAACAATATTACAGATACATCTCCTGTCTCTGTGAGCAGTAGCTCCGGGAAGACACCTCACAAGACCACCATTGTCCATCTCCACACCTCTTATAATGGAATCCCCCAACAACAACTGCTTTCTATTAGGCCTCACCATAGTCTCCAAGCTGGTCTCCGCAACACCACTAGTCTCAGTGCCTCTCTCCACAACACAACTAGCCTCAGTGCCTCTCTCCACAACACCACTAGCCTCAGTGCCTCTCTCCACAACACCACTAGCCTCAGTGCCTCTCTCCACAATACCACTAGTCTTAGTGCCTCTCTCCACAACACCACTAGCCTCAGTGCCTCTCTCCACAACACCACTAGCCTCAGTGCCTCTCTCCACAACACCATTACACTCTGAAAGTGCAGAAAATGAATTATGAAGAGCAACAGACTGTGCAAAATGCCTTTTATCCACAACTCTAAGTCTACCAGATCCTACAGTAATCCATCTGCCATTCCTAGTATGTCTCTGCGGCAGTGGCTTTGCAGCAGTTCCAGTCTGAGTTTGTTCACCAGATAATTTACAAATCTCAGACTTCAAAAATACAATCTCCTGCCGCAAGATAGAGAACTGTCTACAGATTAGACAACAACCAAACCTCCAAAAAGTGGAACGTGAAACAAATGCATAGCAATTGTTACACTGAACTAAGCCTGCCATTCCAATTAGGAGAATAATTTAAATCTAACAAATCTTAACTTTGTATTTATCCTCCTGAATACCTCAGATTACCTCCAGTTTATCTCCAGAATATCTCCAACTACACACTTAGAAACAGGACTCTCCAGAATATCTCCAACTACACACTTAGAAACAGCACTCTCCAGAATATCTCCAACTACACACTTAGAAACAGCACTTAGAAGTAGCACCAAGCTATATTAGACAAGCTAATGACAACAAGCCTTATATAACTCCTAAAATTACCACCCACTAGGAATGTTTAACACCTGGGTAGGCCTCTGCTTATTTGCAAACAATAGCTAATTAACCAGCAATCAATAGCAAGTAACTAGCTTATTTAAATCAAATGCCTTATAATTACCAACAGGAATTCAAACTTGTGCAATCAGTAACCTTTTCCTACAGTTGAATCTTACGTGTAACAGTAGAAAATAAAGCTCTTAGCACAACTCTTAGACAGTTGAAGCTTCTGTAAAACTCTGCAGAATATCTCCAACTACACACTTAGAAACAGCACTTAGAAGTAGCACCAAGCTATATTAGACAAGCTAATGACAACAAGCCTTATATAACTCCTAAAATCACCACCCACTAGGAATGTTTAACACCTGGGTAGGCCTCTGCTCCATGGCATCTCCAGTAGTTTTTCGATTTTGTAGGATCAGCATGGTGCAGTCTCTTTGGCACCATGTACCATCAATATAAAATTTTACAAGTTAGTTTGATGTGATTTGTGTACAGTGTAAGCTTTTTATAAGCTAAAAAGATTCTTGACCATTTTGCTTCTCCCATCGTGAGGTTGAGTTCCTTCTCCCATGCTATCATAAAACATGGTGTCACTGCTGGCTTGACATTCGATTTCGTGTAAAACCTAGATATTGAGTTTTTAGGTGAGGACGGTTGGAGGCCAATTTTCTCTACCTCCATCAGCTGTTATCCATTTACAGTTGATGGGTTATGTTTATATTATATTTCCTAAGCCATGCTCTCATCTGTAAATACATGAATAACGTCTTAGGGGGAATATCATAGGTTGATTTTATAGAGTCGCACTCCAAAAGTTTTTCATTTAGCATTTACTGTGAGAGATGTATGATCCGACATTAGTGCCAGAGTTTGTAGTCAAAGCCTGGTATTAGTGCTGTGAAAGCCTGTATCGGCATAGCTAAAGACACATGTGAGTCCTGGTGGTGCAATTTCTGATATCTACCCCACGCCTGTAGTGTTATCTGAATCATGGTCAGTATATTTTTGTAGATAGCCCTGAGCTTTCGTAGGATCCACGCTAGAGTGGCCAGCTGCAGCCCCCCTGTTTGCGTGGTTTCTAGCTGACTCCATGCAAGTGGTCTTGTGTGATGTGATGCTGCTAACAACGTTCCTACCAGTGTTGCGTGGTAGCAGTTCATGAGATTTGGTAGACCTGTTCCCACTTTGTGAAATGGCTTATATAATGTCATAGCTGCTACCCGTGGTTTCTTTCCATTTCAAATGTAGCCATTGAGGACTGATTGAGCATCTTTAATGTATTGCCTTGGAATTTTAATTTGTAGGGTCCTAAATAGGTATTGTAATTTTGGGAGGAGAAACATTTTTACCACTGCCATCCTACCCATCCAATACACATATTTTCCTTTCCTGGATTTGATTTTTAATGGTTTTAAGTAGTTTGACATAATTAGGTTAAGTCTAGAGGCCGTGAAGGCAATCCCTAGAAAGGTGAGGTGGTCATGCCTCCAGTCAAAAGTGTGCACATACTGGAGTTGTGCAAGCCTGTGCTTGGCAATGTGGAGGCCCATAGCTTGTGTTTTATGGACATTTAGTTTATAGTATGAGCATTCACTGTTTTGTTGCAATACTTGCTGTAGGTTTGGTATCAAGGTTTCAGGTTTCAGTTAGTGTTACCATCACATCATCCGCAAATAAAGTGACTTTATACTCACTGCCACCCAATTTTATCCCGTGTATAGTTCTAGTTGTGCGTATTAGTTTTGTGAGGGGTTCCAGTGCCAATATGTACAATAGAGGTGACAGAGGGCAGCCCTGCCTTGTGCCATTTGAAATTGAAAGTGTTTGTGAAACAAACCCTCCATTTACCACCTTTGCGGTTGGTGCAGAGTATAACACTGAAATCAGGGATAGGAACTGTTCTGGGAACCAAAATTTGCACAGAACTGTTGAGAGGAAGCCCCAGTGCAGCCTGTCAAAAGCTTTTTCCTCATCCAGGAAGAGGAACACACTCAGGCTTTCCACTGACCTCAACATATGCATAAGGTTTACTAATTTCCTTGTCCCATCTGCTCCCTGCCTGCCTTTAATGAACCCCACTTGGTCTCCGTGTATAAGAGTTGTTATCATATTGCCCAGTCATTTGGCAAAAAAATGTTTCTTTAATTTTACATCTGTGTTTAATAAGGATATCTGGCGTAAATTTTGGAATTTATGGGGCGTTTACCTGACTTGGGCAGGGTTGCTATGTGGGCCATCAGCATGTCTTGTGGCATTAAGCCTGTTTTGAGGATATGGTTGTATACACGTTCCAGTCTTGGGGTGAGAAGGCATCGGAAGGTTTTATAGTAACAGTTTGTGAACCCATCGGGACCAGGTGACTTCCCTATTGGTAGGCAGTGTATTGCTTTTATGATTTCCTGTTATGAGATTGGTGCTTTAGTAGGGTTCTTGTATGTCGGTGAAATCATAGGGAGTGAGACCTTAGCTAATAAGTCATCAAAGTCTTGTTGTGTGGGCTGGTGGGCCACTTTGTCATCCTTTAGTTTGTATAGAGTACTATAGTACTCTGCCATTGTATTGTTTATATCTTTTTTATTTATTATATTTTTTTTTATTTTGCATGTTCGTTATAAGCGTTACATGACGTATAGCATTTTGAAAAAACAGTATGACATATAATAATACATTCAGACTTCGTACAAACAATTTACACTTGAGTAACAGATTAGCTTTTTTTTTTTTTTTCAATTGGTTACGAAAAATAAAACAATTTATGTATACAATATTATTAGCGACTATTTGTCCTGTGAGTTTCCCACCTACGAATCTGTGAGAGTGCTCGTGTATTCTATATATCCTCACTCTATTGTGAATTAAGTCTAACACCCTAAGTATAATTTTTGAGATAAGCTTTCCATGGTTCCCACATTGTTTGGCACAGCTGTGATTTCCCTATTGTAGACATCCTTAGTTCCTCCAGTTTATATATATCATCAATTCTCCTGAACCATTCTCTCCTTGACGGTCTTTTGCTAGTTTTCCAGAGCCCTGCTATTACTACTTTAGCTGCGGTAAGGAAGTACAGTATTACTGAGTTTCGAAACGTGCGCATAGTTACCGGGATGTTGTAAAAAAGAAGTGCTTCGGGTGTAGCTAGGATAGTTGTGCCACTAAGTTTGCCTGTAATCCTCGCCACTTCTCTCCAGAACCCCACTACTCTGTTACACGACCACCATATGTGTTGGTATGTGCCTCGTTCTTGCAGACACCTCCAACATAGCGGTGAGGTATTGGTATCGTATTTGTTGGCGTCTACAGGTGTTATATACCAGTGGGAAAGAAATTTAAAATTTGGTTCTTGTATTGTTATGCTAGAGTGTGATTTCATAATTTTAGTGAAGGTAGTATGCCATTTTTTTTCTTCCCACGGGGTTGACAACCATTGTTGGTGTTTTGCAGTGAACCACGGGAGAGAGTTGTTCGTACATTCTTGGATTAGTTGATAACACTTAGATACTATTTTGGTTTTCGGCGGCGTGGAGCAGAGTTTTTCAAATTGGGTCTCTTCTCTTGGCTGCCAGTGTAAGAGTCCTTCTTTATGTAAAAAATGTTTTAGCTGATGATATTGGAATGTTTGAGTCATGGTTGGATAGTGTGTGTCCGCAAGGTCAGTCAGTGGTAATAGTCCGTCCCTAGTGACTAGGTCTCGTAGTGTTATATTTCCGTCGCCCGGGTTAGGTATGGTCTTACTCATATTCCTGATGTCCCTGCCTGCTGGAAATCTTGGGTTATGAGCAATCGGGAATCGTGGCGAAGGTGTCGGTGTGAAGTGGCGCATTGGATTTATATTTGCCCATACTTCAAGAGTGGCCCCTATGGTGGGTAGGTCTTTTGGGGAGTTTCCTTTGCCTGTCAGTACTGTCCATGGGAGATATTGAAGGGGGTTGCTACTTGAGATTGTTCTATTTGAACCCATGCCTTAGTGTCTGTCTTTCTTGACCATTCCAGTATCCTCCCTAGGTGTATTGCCTTATGGTAATTCTGGATGTGTGGGCATCCCAATCCCCCTCTCCCCTTTGGTTTGGTCAGTACATTGAAGGCTAAGCGCGGGCGCTTCTTTGCCCATATAAAAGTTGTAAGTATCGTCTGAATTGAGCGAAAAAAGGCAGTCGGGATATATATAGGGATAGTGTTCAGAAGGTATAAGATGCGTGGTAATATATTCATGGATATAATGTTTATTCGTCCCATCCATCGAAAATGTGGTTTATCCCATCTATCTAAGTCTTTTTTGATTGCCGTGAGTATGTCAGGGAAATTTTCTCTATATAGGGTTTTATGAGTGTTAGTTATTTTTATCCCGAGATATTTGATGGAGTTGGGCGCCCATTGGAACGGGTATTTGCATTGCAGGCTATGTACCTGTCCAGGGGGCAAGTTAATGTTGAGAATTTCGCATTTGTCAATGTTGATTTTGAAGTTAGAGACTTTACTATACTCGGATAGAGCTCTTGTCAAGTGGGGCAAACTGTGTAATGGGTTTACAATGGTGAATAGTAAGTCATCGGCAAAGGCCGACACTTTATATTCCTGTTGGTTAACCCTGATGCCTTGTATATCAGGATTAAGTCGCACTGCCTGTAGAAGGGGTTCTAGAGAAAGAATAAACAATAGAGGGGATAATGGGCACCCCTGTCTGGTGCCGTTACTTATCTTAAATGGTTTTGAAAGTTGGCCATTTACCTTTAGGCGGGCTGTGGGCTGAGAGTATATGGCTCTTACCCATTGGATCCATCTGTTACCAAATCCCAACATCTCAAGTGTGGTTATAAGGAAGGCCCAGTCCACCCTGTCAAATGCCTTTTCTGCGTCTATTGCCAGGAGTAGTGTTGGGGTTTGTGTGTATGAAGTGCAATGAATTAGATTTATAATTTTGGATGTGTTATCTTTTGCTTCCCTAGCAGGCACAAAGCCTGCTTGGTCTGGATGGATTAGATCTTGGAGAAATGGTTTAAGTCGCAAGGCCATCATTTTAGTAAAAATTTTTATATCCACATTTATGAGAGATATTGGCCTATAACTGGCGCATTTCTCCAGATCTTTCCCTGGTTTGGGTAACAGCGTGATTGTCGCCTCCAACGCCTGACTCGGTATAAGGTTGTGTTGTGGGATAGAATTGATTGCTTCTAGCAGATGTGTATTAAGTTCCGCTTGAAACATCTTATAGTAGGAGGCCGAGAACCCGTCCGGCCCCGGGCTCTTGTTGTGTGGTGTCTGTTTGAGTGCCATTTTGAGTTCATCTAATGTGAAGGGTTCTTCTAATGATCTTGTCGCCACAGGCGGCAAAGTTGTGTCGAATTTGTTCTCCAAGAAGTTTCTCAAGTCTTCTATGTTGGGTCCCCTCTCTTTCAGATTATATAGTGAGGTGTAGTAAGTGTGGAATGTATCGGCTATTTCTTCTGAGGTGTAAGCGAACGACTCATCTGAGCGTTTGATTTTGGGGATGTATGTGAGCGCCTGCTTTTGTTTAAGAGCTTGTGCGAGTAGTTTGCCACACCTGTTTCCCTGCGCATAGTATCTGTGTTTTGTCCATAGGATGGCTTTCCGAGCCTTGTCTTGTAGTAGTGCGGTAAGTTCTGTCCTATGGGCGAGTAGTGAACAGTAAATTGCGTCCGTCATGTCAAGTTTGTGAGCGTTTTCTAGTTGTGTAATTTTTTTGTAAAGTTCCTCAATCTGTTTATTTTTTTCCCGTTTGATTTGGGCCCCCCATTTTATTAGTTCTCCCCTTACTACTGCCTTATGTGCTTCCCATTGCACAAATGCAGAGGTATCTGGGGTTTTATTTTCTTGGAAGTAGAGCCTGATCGTGTTCTGTGTCGCTTCTCTAACTGTTTTTGTTTGCAGCAGGTTGGGATTGAGTTTCCATAGTCCCTTGGGTCTGGGGAGGGAGGGGACAGTGACTGTGAGGTAGATAGGAGAATGGTCCGACCAAGTCATTGGGCCTATGGAGGTGTCTGTTACCAGGCTTAGGTCTCTGTGGGAAATCAGGAAGTATTGTTTATATCTTGTGGGTTATATATTTTATTCCCCAAGTCTGTTGTTAGGAACGGTATTTTGGAATGTTGTCTTTTTTGTCTCATGAGTGTTGCCATTGCTTTCCCCACTCTGCTACCCTGTGTGTACATGCATAATTTCAGTTTTTGGATCATGAATGTTGTCTTTTAAAAGTGTATCTCGTTTAGCCTTGTTTTGATTGTCAATTTGTAGTTGGGTCTTTGTTGATGGATTTAGTAATCGGGCATTTGTGTTATCTCTCAGCGGACGCAACAATTTGAGATATTCTTTTTGTGACAAGAGGTGTAGGGTGATGCTCTACTTATTAGGAACCCCCTTATTACTTCTTTGTGTGCTTGCCAGGTTGTGACAGGTGAGATTTCAGGAGTAGTGTTCAACTGAAGGTATGTAAAGATGTCATCTGATAATTTGTCCTTGAATTAAGCCTTTTGTATTAAGGTGTCATTGAGATGCCAGGGTGTATTACCTCTATGTTGGAATGTGTCTGTTATGGATAGTGTCACTGGAGCATGGTCTGACCACACTATATCTCCAGAGATCTTCCATTACCATGAAAATTATATCAGTTAGCACTTACCAATTAATATGCCATTACACTAGAGTCTGGCAATATTTAAATGAGATAGCAGCCAAATACTGCCAAAAATGACCAGAGTGCGAGTTCCCCATAGGCAACTACAGGAACTGTGACATTATTTGCTATTCCCTAAATTGTGTTGCAATGAATTATATTATATTAGACCCACAGTCCATCTCCTGTGATTAACGCAGAGATATTTCAGATCACCCATTATGAATGAAATTAAAAACATAACACCCGGGGATGGTGACTAGTAATATTCCAATAAATAGATTACAAGTTAAATTACTCACAGAGCAGCTGAATTCAACAGTGAGAATCCTTTATCATGATCACGTTATAGATGGGATGAAGTACAGAGCTTTCATGCCAATTAAGCTTAGCGTGAGTGCTTAACAAAGCTGATAGATGACAGAGTTCGTATTGATTGGATTCTAGCGCTTCCTTTGATTGTTGATGTTGCTGTTTATAAGGAGGCAGAAAAATATAAAATAAAGATGATGCAACAATATTATATTATATTAGACACAGTGAGGTTAGCATTTTATTAATCTTGTGGTAAAAGTCAGTTCAGTCAGTACAAATAGAACTATTTGTACCAACTGAGCTGATTTTTACCATATTTAATGAAATACTAACCTCACTGAGTCTAATATAATATAATATTGTGGCATCATCTCTACTTTATATTTTTCTGCCTCCTTATAAACAGCAACATCAACAATCAAAGGAAGCGCTAGAATCCAATCAATACGAACTCTGTCATCTATCAGCTTTGTTAAGCACTCACGCTAAGCTAAATTGGCATGAAAGCTCTGTTCTTCATCCCATCTATAACGTGATCATGATAAAGGATTCTCACTGTTGAATTCAGCTGCTCTGTGAGTAATTTAACGTGTAATCTATTTATTGGAATATTACTAGTCACCATCCCCGGGTGTTATGTTTTTAATTTCATTCATAAAGGGTGATCTGAAATATCTCTGCATTAATCACAGGAGATGGACTGTGGGTTTACAATAGCCATCTTTCCTAATTGAATTAAGCCAAAAGAAACAACAAAAATTTAGTTTTTACACTATGAAGACAATATCCAAAGAAGTGAGCCAAGTGACGCTTTTGGACATTATTGTATAAGCTGAAATCGATGTACCTTTTAATATAAAACAATAAATAGGTGGGTTTTAACTTACAACTAAATGCCTGCTATTATTAATGTTCACATTAAATAATTTACCATCTAAGATGATTTGCTTGTGGGATTGCATGTGTGTAGAGGGGGTATTTATTGTGTAGTGTGTAAAAGGTAATCTTGTTTTGTGTTTGTGTGTGTATAAGAAATGTACTTGGTGTAGGATTGCATGTGTGCAGAGGGGGCTGTTTATTGTGTAGTGCAGTCATAGTCAACCTTTTTCTACCTCCCGCCCACTAATGCATCTGCCATGATGGAAACATTTCCTTACCACCCACCAGTTTTCTTGCAAGTGCAGAATATTGTTTAGAAAGGAGGGTGTTTAAAAAAAAAAAAATGTACGTACATTTATCTTTTTATTTCTACTTTATGCATGTTTATAATGTTTTTAACTTTATAAAGTTTAATGAGAAAACAATAAAGTAAATTGAAATTACCTTTACTAGTGATTAATGAGATCCTTGAGGCTGATGCTGCGAGACTAAATATTTGATATCTGGTTCCATTTTCGTAAGGAACAAACTAAGGTCTCCTCTTTCTGTGATATTCAGACGACTTCTCTGTTTGCGCATAATATGATTTCTCATCTGTGCATCAGCTCCCCTCCTCAATTCCCCATCCCACCTTTTTTTCCCCTTTTTTCTATTTTTTTAACCTTCCTTCTAGCAATGCCCAGTAGGAAGGCTGAGCCAAGTAGCCCACTTACTATTATTAGCCAACAACAATTCTCTCCTTTTCCTTCTTTCTCCTTTTTTACAAGTACTCTACTCCTTCTTTCTCCTTTTTACAAGTACTCTGCTCCTTCTTTCTCCTATTCTACAAGTACTCTGCTCCTTCTTTCTCCTTTCTACAAATACTCTGCTCACAGACAAACACATACACACATTCACACATACACTTACAGACACACACTCACAGACAAACACTCACACATACACTTACAGACACACACACTCACAGAGAAACACATACACACAGACAAACATACACACACATACACTTACAGACACACACTCACTCACACACTCACAGACAAACACACACACATACACTTACAGACATACACACACT